CGCAAACCAAGGAAAAGTTCTATCCATATGCTTCCACGCCTCTGCATCAGCCGGATGTCTGATTTTACCATCATCAGTACGTTCTTCCATGTGCCACCTCATTTGCTTAGCAGTGTCTTTATTCATATACAACCGTTTTAGCCTTGGTATTAAGGGAAAATGACGCAGGACCTTTGCTGGAATCTTCTTTTGCTTAAGCATAGACCTTGTTGTCCCATGTGTTGAATAATTTTTGCGTTGTACCCACCGTGATACTCCACAAATTGGACACTCCTGAAGATCTTTGTTATCCTTATAGTAGAGGATACAATCATTAGGGCATGCGTCGATTTTATTGTAATCAAGTCCTATAACGGAAACAATCTTCTTTGCGTTATCATAATTTTTTGGTATGCTATCTTTTCCATTTGGAATGACTTTTCTCAGCAACACAAGCAACATATTAAAATATTTATCTGCCATTCCACTAAGAGACTTTATACGCAAAAGACGCAGCATAAATGATAACCTGGTGAACTCGGTGCAACCCTCGTACAGATCATTTTCATTGTCGTCTATTAATTTCATTATCTGTGCCAGCTCCTCATGATCAGTCACGCCTCCAGCATTTCCTGACTCGTCAGCATCCTCGGCAACATCAGATTGATCTATATTAGGAACTGTTAACATATCCGCGAGCATCGTATGTGTATCATCTATTCTCGTATCATCTATTCTCCCACCGGACGTACCGGTATCCGCCATCAGTTCCATTTCTTCAAGACATCCTTCCCCATGAAACGTCCAATATTTGTACTCCTCATGAAATCCTGATATTAAGTGTTTCTGTAAATCACTTTTATCCACCAACACCCTATTTTTACACAACCAGTAGGGACAATACACGACATCACTATTTAACTTCCGTGGGTCTGCCAAGGCATACTGTATGAATTGATTTATTCCATCTTTATATCGATTATCCCTCCATCTATCAATACGAGGAATATCGATCCATGATTTGTCGGGAACTATCCTCATAGATATGTATGATATTAAGCATAGGTAATGTGAATTTTTATTAGTAACGCATCAAATTAAAGGTTGCGTGATATTAACTTTCTTCACGACATCAAGGAAATTTTAATTATAATATCGGAGGGAAAATTACCAGAACATAAATTATGTGGGAGTAAAATCTAACGCTCATATTTGAAATAAGACAATTTAACGACTGTCATAGGAAATGGACCTATCCCATTAGGAATATAGTAGTGTCTACAACTACCTTTATATACTTTAAGCGTTTTATTTCTTAAAAATTTTGGCAGCACCTACCCGCAGTTCTCCGAGTACACTGTGCGGATGTTATAATGCGTATCAATCATCGATAATAGATCGATTATAAATCGATACGCAAAACAACATACGCTTATTGTACACGGAGAACAATGCGGTACGTGTTATCGAAATTTTTAAGGAATAAAAATGCATAAAGTATACAAAGATAGATCATACACTATTGTATTCCTAACCTGTACGAGAAGGGGAATCCTCCCCGGACAGATCTAATAATTATTGCATGTATATCATGCTCCTAACATAAATCACGTTATTCTTTTTAGATGTAAAAAGTATTTTCACATCCAACTAGAATTACATGAGTTTATATCAGAAGAGATTCACATCCAACATTATTAGACGGGAAACTAGGGGTAACGACTTTCAATTCATAAATCATGATATATAACACAATAAAACTTGTAATTATTAACTAAGAGAGGAAAAAGATATATATTTCTTGAAAATGGGTGTCTTCGCAGTGGCGTGATCTTTCCTCTTTTCTTTTTGACAAAACGGGTGTCTTCGCAAATTATTAACTAAGAGAATTACTCAAGAGACATGGATATAATCATTGAAAATGCATAACAAAAGTGATCTCATGTAAGAATTGAAGTTATATATTTCTTGAACTTTTAACAAGAACAATAAATAGATGCATTTTAGGGGCTGTTTGATTTAACTCAAAAATAGCTTGAAAATTATTCCTACCAAATTAGTTAGAATACTATTGTAAATGAATGAGACCCCCTGCCTAATTCCTTTGTCCGAGTCCATAAGATCCTACTGGCTTTAAATAAGTTTGCATACATTAAAACCCATCAATTAATATCCAATTTTCAACTGAAAAATCAAACAAAGACCAAAAATTACCGCTTGGATCTCCTGCAATCCAAGAAAATGTAAGCCTCTCTTGGACCTCCTGCAATGCAATCCAAGAAATCAAATTTCAGATAAGAAACAACAACAAAACCTAAAATCACAACAAAATTTTTTTAAAAAATTTGAAAAAAAACAAGGAATCATACGCGAATCGAGAGAATATGACAGAGCTCAGGCGAACCCTCTGTTCGAGTCAGCGCGGGGGTGGTACAGTGGCGAGCTCCAAGGTCGATGGTGAGCTCGGTTCCATGGCCGGTGGAGTCGAAGAGGGGGAGGGGAAGGTGATGGCTCGGGCAAGGCCGGCCGCGAGGGCGAGGAGATCGCCGGCGCCGAGTTGCTGAGCTGAGAGTGGGGAAGTCGTTCGCTGAGCTGAGCGGCGGCAATGAAAACTTAGGGTTTTTCTCCGGGAAAAATTACATCGCGACATTTACATAACTCACATCACTGACGGGAAACCCGTCAGCGATGTTTAAACCCCGTCAGCGATGTTTTCATCGCTAACGGTAGCGAAGAAATGCGGACGGCAATATCGTTGACGGGAATTCCCGTCAGCGATATAAACAACGCTGACGGGAAATTCCCGTCAGCGATGTTGCCGTCAGCGAAAGCCCTATTTCCGCTAGTGATGGTTGTCAAAGTTGTGAAAGATGTTAACTTCGATCTCTTTCTGTTGTTTCCTAAAGGGTAAACCTTTTTTATTATAAATTTGTTAATAGTTAAGGGAGAAATTCTCGTGAGAGAGCGAGTAGATCAGTTTACTGATGGGTCATTTCGATTCATTATGTTCGCACTGAGATTGGAATTTCCATGGTCATATTATCTATGCGAAGTTGCTAGTTGCTAGGATTTAGATCCTCTGCAATTAGGTGGTTATCAGAGAGTCTTCAATTCTTCCAATTATTGTTGTACGATCTCAATTCAACGGACAAGATTAGGCCACATTGAATTCCACTATTGTGATAGTGGTCTTTTAAAAAAATAGTGGTTTTCGAAAGATAGTGGTTTTCAAGACATTTTATCACGTGGTCTAATCTCGTCCCTTAAATTCCAAACGTATGACAATGATTGGAGGGCTTGGAGACTCTCTAATTACCCCTAATTGGAGAGGATTGGAATCCAAGTAGAGTTTTATGGAAGTTTAATTATACTAAGTGTAACTTCCTTCTGAGTTCAAGTGTTTACATCAGCATTGATGTTTCCAGTTTACAGCTGATTTAAGCCTCAAACTCGCAAAGGAAAAGAGAGAGAGGTGGTCCAAAGGGCGATGTTTTAGTGAACAACCATCGCTAATGTTCAAATCAACTGAACTTATGGTTTATGGCCCTGACTTTAGCTTCCAAGCTGAGCTTAGAGTTTATAACTAGGATGAATAACCTGATTATAGCATTTTAGTACTTGAATTTAGGTTGAAAGTGGATAAAGTTTTCTCGAGTCAGTTGAAATTCCATGGCTATGAGTTGAGTTAATAAAAATAGATTCATGTTTGTTGAGAATGAATTTTGGTTGCAAACGAAAAGAGAAAAGGGTTGTTGAAAAGGTCAAAGCAAACAAGTCAAAACAAGTCCAAAAATATAAAATCTGTCTTAGATTGTGACATCAGTTGAGTGTGTTTGAGCTGAAGTCGCAGCTATTTGATGGTGTTTTAAGGTTAAATTTCATTGCAAATTGATTTTAGTTCATATTCCATCTAGTGGCTTGGGTTTTAAGATGGATTTACTAGAAGATTCATGTTAGTGCAGACGTGCATGTTTTAGTACATCATTTCCTTTGCCCTGCCACACTATTAGTGGCACTGGAAGCATGCTCAACGATTTTCATTTGACTATGAATTTTGTGAATTATTTTGATAAGGAGACCCTTTGATATAGAAGATTTCTATCATTTGCTGCTTTTAGAAGCCATTGCTCTCTCCGTGGTTCTCTATTTTTCGGGAATGCTTTCATCATGTTCCTAATTCCCAACCTATTACTTTATTTCATTCATAGTGAAAAAAATAATGAAAACGTATTTATCTATAAACAGTAGTCTTCACTTATAAAACTTATCCAGCTAGTACGATGGGTGAATTACCAATCATTTATCATAGGTTCATTCTGACAGATGTACAAGGTGACGTTGTTGAGGGAGAAAATGTTTTTATTTTTTGTCATACATTATTCTGAGTCAAGTGAATAAGTGTGTGTGCGCGCGTGTGGGGATGTGGGTGTGGCTCAGGTATGGGTGCGTGTGTGTGGGGGGTTGGTGTGTTTATACGTAAGTATGTATCTCTTACTTTCCCTTTTTGCTTCTTAAGAGGGCCCACTTAGCCACTTGTCTTCTTGTTTGCTGAAATTTAACTCATTCTTGTAACTGGAAAGCGTCCCAATCTCACTAATATTTTTCCTGTATGTATGATATGGCTTATTAGTCAGTGATATTGCATGCTAATTGTTGTCATTCATATTCTTAATGGATGAGATTTATTTTTGTGAAAGTTTTGATGATATATGTGTTATAACCCAAAGGATGTATTGCAAATAATGATTAATAAAGAAGCTGTTGATGATGCAACACCAAGTTACATATTCTGAAATAAAAACTGAAGTAGCCCTTAATCGGAAGTAAGGAAGTGAAACAGTTGTATGTTACAGTTGCAGTTAGAACACCTATATGAACCTTGTCTAAACTACGATATTAGGATGTTCTGAAGCATGTGTTATTTACTATTTATGTATTAGAAATCTGGGCCTTTTATCTCATAATAGCTATAATCATATTTCGTTACTGATGCAAATATTTTATCACTGGCTGATGTGCAGGCTGTGTATGGGATCTCTGGTCTGAAGACGGTTTCCTTCAACCAAAGGAAAAGCTTTTCTTCAATCCGCACTCTGCCAGCACGAATGCGGTTCCAGGTTTCTTGTGCTGTATGATCCTCTCACTGCTGCTGTTGATAGCTTTATATTGAAAGTTCATCATCTTAAGGAAATAGTAATAGATTGATGTTTCATACAAGTGTTAGGTGATACTACTGATCACGTGGACTTGCTTGCATAACAGGCTAAACCAGAGACTCTGCAGAAAGTTTGTGAGATTGTGAGGAAGCAATTGGCACTCCCTGATGATTCTAAGGTCTCTGGTGAATCCAAGTTTTCTACCCTTGGAGCTGATTCCCTTGACACGGTACAAATCAATTCTTTTGGGCAAATTGGGTCTGTTATCTTATTAATTTGCTGCACATAAATTGCTGATATGTTTCACGACTCTAAACTAAGAGAATGCTTAGGTAAAATAGTAGCTAAATTACTATAAACTGTCGGCCACCTTAACATCATAACACTAATAGTGACTAACCGTAGATACTTTTAACTTTTGATTGATAAAGCCTAGAAGTATACACCTGGTAATTGTTTTGCCCATGAAGGAAGCCTCCGTAGTTTCACCTTAAATAGAATTTATACTAAACCGGAGCCTGTTTGGCAACCACTCAAAATTAGACCAGCTTCAAACCTGGACCAATTTTGAGAACAGTTGTGATCGGGAAAAACTAGGCCAAAGCTGGTCCAGTTTTTCTTAGCCCGAAAAAGAGGCTTTAAACTTGTGCTATTTTGGATCACCTTATTCACACGTCAATATCCACAGTTAACACTATTTTTTAACTTTTGATACCCTGAAGTTCTATTTTGACGATTCGACACCCTTATCGAATTGACATTAATTTGACAAATTGATATCTTAAAGCCCTAACTTTGTTCTTCACTTTCCCCAAACCCAACTAAAGAAATTTGGTAAGAAAAATTGCAATTTTCTATGTTAACGGGGTTATCAAATTGTCAAAATAGAAGTTCAGGGTATCTAAGTTAGGAAAGGGCAGAACTGTAGGGTTGTGAAGTGCAAATAACAACATGAATAAGCCTAGAACTAAAATTATATCATTCCCTGGTTTTGCTGCTACCAGGTGGAGATTGTGATGGGACTGGAGGAGGCGTTTGGGATAAGCGTGGAAGAAGACAGCGCCCAGAGCATCACAACGGTGCAGGATGCTGCTGATCTGATCGAGGATCTCGTCGCAGCAAAATCCGTTTAAATTGAAAGAGAGAGAAAAGATAAAATGAAAAAAAAATAAGATGAAAAAATTTCATCTGACCGTCGTATTAGCTCATAGTTTTCGCGTGTTTGCTGTCAGCCTGTGTTCAAGTTGAATGTCATAGAAATGCTTGGTGAACTGCTGTGACTCTTTTACTGCTGCCTAGAATTAAACTTGAAAGGTTTTGGTTACGCACGGTGCATTACTATGTCTATTTTTATAGCTATGTCCTGCTTCTCGGATGACTTTTTGATTGGTAAATATATTAGTTTTTGACCTTGGATTCGCTAGGTGTAGTGTTCTTGACATTTCCCATGAGTAAATACCTACTGTACATTAAAATGTCGAGCGGGGAGGTCCGTCCTCTCATTCAAACCATGCCCTCGAGCTTGCAATAATAGTTTGATTAGCTTCTATGTTCATGTTTCTGCTGTTATTAATAGGTTATTCTTGGATTAGCCATCCATTCCGTTAAAGAAAGTGAACCAAAATTGTAAAATATTTGGAAGAGATCCGGGTTTTTGCTACTTGACAACTAAAAATAAAAAGGAAAAACTTGAAGAAAAAAAATAGACCATAACTACAGAGAGTGCAAAAGAAATCATATGTTTGCTTTGCATACTTATTACACATCAATCAGGACTAGGGTTGTTTTTCATACACATTTACTTCGTGTAATATGTGATTTTGTTCTTCTCTGGGGTTGTTTGGTTTGCAAATAAAAAATTAAAATTAAAAAAAATAAAAAAAATGCATGAACTTCTAGGATTTGGAACAAAAAGTGGGGTTTTGAGTATTACAAGATAGTTGTAGCATGTATTGTTTGAAAATGAATTTATAGAGTTGATTTCTAACTCTCTTATTTCTTTAGTTTTACTTTCCCATTTTTCGGGGTTTGAATCAAACATGAGATCACATATTCTAAGATTTGCTTTCCTATTATCATGTTGAACCAAACACAAAATTAACAATTTTATAAGATATGCATGGAAAGCAACGGATTTGCTTTCTTGAGAGGGCTTCCTATATTTTTATAGGAGATATGCAAGGAAAGCAATGGATTTGCTTTCTTGAGAGGGATTATGTTTCCTATATTTTTTAATAGGACCAAACAACCCCTAAATGTCTTATAATCACAAATTAATTTATATTAAAGTGCATGCTCCTTGTGTTATACAATGGAATTTTCAGCAATTGTTTTCTCTAGACATCTTCCAATAACAGTTTTTACTCGTATCATTTGTGGCTGGGAGCTGAGCTGATTGAATTGCCATCACACTCTCTATAACGTACCAAACTTAATTGAATTCAACTTCTAAGTTCACATCACAACACTATCATGAAGTTTATTAGGACTTTCACAAAAAAAAAAAAAAAATTTGTAAATCATTTTTATTAGATAAGTTATCTCAAACTTTGAATTAGCTGGAGTTCTTCTAACAATGCTAATGACCGTTGAAAGTCTAAAAAGTTTCTCATTGTTAGAGTGAGTTCTGTTGTCTCTAATTTTATTTTACTTTTTGCTTATTTCAGGAGGACTTATGTCAAGGAATTTGTTATTTTGCCAGTTTTCAATATTTGATTCCTACTCGTGTAAATTTTAACAACAAATGTCATACAAATGATCCTTTTGTGATGGCATGCCAAGTGCATCAACATCACAGTGAATGAGAGTAAGTGTAGAGAGTGAGATGTGAAACCAAAGTATAGCCATATGACTGATGAATATCTGTAAAGAGGAAGTGGCACAAAGAGGACCATCCACACAATATTTCTAGCTTATTTTTGCCAGTTTTCAATATTTGATTCCAATGAAAGATAGAATAAAAACTTTTTCCAGCATCAACATCACAAAGAATGAGAATAAGTGTAGAGAGTGAGATGTGAAACCAAAGTATAGCCACATGACTGATGAATATCTGTAAAGAGGAAGTGGCACAAAGAGGACCATCCACACAATATTTCTAGCTTATATCACTCACTCACTCACTCTGTCTCTTTGTTACCTTGGGCTGTTGTTTCAGATTGTTTGCTGCAGAATTTTCAGTCTTTATTTCTAATATATCATGTTTTTCTTTACATCTGACTTTAGCTTATTTTGATTAAAGAATACTTATTAGAAGTTCTTTGATTATGTAGAAAGCAAGTGAAAAGAATAAGGAAAGTCGAAACAGTAATTCACACTAGTTTGTCATTGTGACAGTTGTCTATAAGGTATATGTATTTCTTCTCTTTATTTACTCAAAACTATATATCTAACCAATTTCTTCTTTTTGAATAAATTTCTATATCTTTTACTTTTTTTCCTACCATTTTATAAGGTATTCGAATAAATCTACGTACTAGTTTTTAGTTTTAAGTCATGTTATGCGTGAATTGATGAAATCACTTCTGAATCTAGGTAATCATTTTACAAAGGACCGGAATAAATCTAGTAGTTTTTAGATTAAACTAGTACGGTGTGCATGCATGCGTGCGCGTGGACATTTTTTTTTTATATCATGATTTTTTTTTGAGACGATCCTTGTGATTGTATCTTTAGCATTACTAAAACCTTAAAAAAAAGTAACGGATCATCATAAAATATATCATAAACCTCCCTTAAATTTTATTAAAAGTAATTGTTAAATTCTTTTTTTAACTTTCTGGAAGAGAGTCACTTAAATAGCTTTAGTGTATGTTACGCCCTTCAAGAAGGGAGAAAGCAGCGAAGTGAAGGAGAGTAAGCATGACAACTGCACTCATACTTTAGTTTCAATCTTCAAGGAGTCTGAGCCTTATTTCTCAAAGTCTTTCTTATTATAAGATCATCAGATCATATATAGAAGGAAGGTCAATAGTGAAAAAGGGGAGACAGTCTAAAGAGCTCCTAAATTTGAAGTCATCTTTTCTAAAAATTCCGTCCCTTTTCTTATTTTGACAACAAAACCCCAAAAATTTACCTCTCTTCTAAGAAATCCCCAAAATTTCTTATCTAGCAATGAAGATGCTAAGTTGTACATCTCTTCTAAGAAGCCAACATGTTGGACCTAAGATGCAAGCCTAGAGGGGGTGTTGGGGTCGAGAGACGCCCACACCACCGCGGAAGCTGATCAACCCCGAGAGAAAACAACCAACACAAACAATATCGAATACACAGAAAACAATAAGTAACTCAGACGAGACAACAGATTTACGTGGTTCGGCAAACTAGTTGTTAGAAAAGATGACTACATCATAACACAACTTTTTCTTATTAGGTTAGTAGTTTTGTTGTCAAAAAAGAAAGATAGGGGCTTCTTATAAAAGAAAGTAAAACTTGGGGGCTTCGTTTTTAAAAATACAATTGAGGGCTTCTTAGAAAAGACATGTAAAAACTTTGAGGCTTTGTTGTCAGATAAGAAAAGTTGGAGGTTTATTAGAAAAAAAAAATAGAACTTAGTGGTTTAGTTGTTAGAAAGGAAAACTGAAGAGCTTCTTTAAATAAATAATAAACTATGTTCTCCATCAAAGTAAGTACAACTACACATCATAATGCAAATGGTATCTGAACAATAATTTTTAAGCATAAAAGGATAGACTCAACTCGTATAAGGGTCTTTGTATAAAAATTCTTCAAAATGACTATAAGATTGTGGAAACCCCTGTATGAGATATAAATCGGACGTTCTAACTGTATGATTTGAACTTTCTAATCATATCATACTCCCTTTAAAAGCACGAGTTCGGAAAAATCTTTTAGTAGACAAAAATGTCCTTAAAATTCAAATACTAATCCATTAAATAAGAGTAAGTTGATAAATTGATAAATTGATAAATTCTTATTGGATATACATAGTATAAAGATAAGGATATAGTTTAAATTAAAATGTAAACCTGAATGAAAGAACAATTTAGGTAAGTTAGACGATTTATTAAATGCCAAATTTACTCCCTTGCTCTTATATGTGATCAATGATCAAACTGTAAACAATTATTCACGTGCTACATGATTAATATTGTCAAACTGAGAACAATTATTCACATGCTATATGATTAATAATTACACACAACGTGACGATCTCTTTTTTTTTTGGTAAATGAAAAAATTTTTATTCATTTTCCAAATTTTGAAATGAGAGTACATCAAAAACCAGATAAAATACTGGCAAACAATGAGAAAAAAAACCCGAAACTCACTTACAACCTCTCAACTTTCTCTTTCAAATGATCTGGGATGTCTTCATGCAGCACTTTCATAAGGACTGAAAGCTTCACCTCTCTCACAATTTGGTCTGGACTTCGGCATTTTTGCTAAAAAATTCTTGAGTTTCTCTCCTTCCATAACCAGTATATAGTTGCCGACAGTACCATTCTCTTCATCTTCTTCATGAATCCTAGACCCCTCATGTTGTTGCAAAACCAGTTCATCACATGATCCCAATCACATGATCTCCATGTAAAGCCAAGCCATTTCATCATTTCATTCCAAACAAAACCTGAGAATTGACACTCAAAGAAGAGATGTTTCTTGGATTCAGGCCGATTGACAGAGCCTATGCACAGCACACACCAATTCTGGCTAGCATCTAGTATCTTCATACGGCACAGCTATCCTTGGTCAATAGTCTCGAGAGAACAGCAAGCCACATTATCAAAGAGTGTTTGGGATAGTGCAAGCCCCCCCAAACTGTATTCGACCAGGTCACAGTAGCTGAAGGATGGGATAAAATACTGTATACAGATGAAATTTGAATATTGCCATCTTTGAGACAGGTATAGCAAGAACTCTATATACATTCTCAACATTACCAAATCTGTTGATCACCAAATCTCTCACCTTTAGGAGTTGCCTCCACATCCAAGAGTCATTTTTCCTTGATTGAATTTGCCAAATCTCCTGATTTTGTAAATAGTTCTCATGTACCCATTTAATCCATAAAAGATCTTTTTTAGCATGTATCATCCATAACAATTTAATTCCTGCAGAGTAATTCCAAAACTTGGCAGTGTAGAGACTCAGACCTCCAAGTTTCTTGTTTCTACAGACCTCAGCCCAGGAGACTAGATGAATTTTGTTCCCCCATAGGAAAGCAGAGCACATTTTATCTATCCTATCCAACACCTTGATCGGAAGGATATAATTGCTAGTCCAATAGATTTGTATTCCCAGAATAACAGACTTTATAAGTTGAATTCTTCCCGCATATGACAGTTTTTTCCTGTTCTGCCAAGTTTGGAATTGGTCTGAGATTTTGGATATCAGAGGAGAGCAATCAAGAAAGGAGAGCCTCTTTGAGATCAGTGGCATGCCTAGATATCTCATTGGCAAGGAACCCTTTGAGAAGTTTAAGAAAGAGCAAATTTGTGCCTTCAGTTCATCATTAATACCACTCATGAGGATTGAGCTTTTGCTAGAATTAGCCTCCAACCCCGAGACATTACTGAATTCTCGAAGACAGCTGTGCATTTTAGTTATTGAGTCTAGATCAGCTCTACAAAACAGTAGCAGGTCATCGGCAAATATCAAGTGAGTAATATTCATTTTGGCACATTTTGGGTGATGCTTGAATCTTCTATCTAAGTTGAGAGTCTTCAGTTTCCTAGATAGATACTCCATCCCTAATACAAATAAGAAGGGAGATAATGGATCACCTTGCCTAAGTCCTCTAGCTCCCTCAAAGTACCCATGCAAGGAGCCATTCAGTGATAAGGAGAATCTAGGAGTAGAGATGCATTCCATGATCCAATTGATCATATTAGTAGGAAATCCCAAACCTGTCAACATGTGTCTGATGAAACCCCAACTTATCATGTCAAAAGCTTTTCTCAGATCAACACTCAGAACAACCCTTGGAGAGACATGCCTTCTACCATAATGTTTGAGGAGTTCATGAGCTAACAGGATATTATTAGAGATAAGTCTTCCCTTAACAAATGCACTTTGTGCATCATCAATCAGGTAGCCAATTACTTTCTGAATTCTTGCAGTAATGATTTTAGAGATCACTTTGTATATACAGTTGCAACATGAGATAGGCCTATAATCAGCTGGTGTTCTAGGATTGAGAATTTTAGGCACTAGGGTGATGGAGGTAGAGTTAAATGCACCAAGAAGTTTACCAGTATGAAAGAATTCCTCTGCAGCTTTGCATACTTCATCTTCAATAACACTCCAAGCCGATTTGAAAAAAGATGCACTGAATCCATCAGGTCCAGGGCTTTTGTCATCTGACATTGTGAACACAGCTTTAACGTGACGATCTCTTCAAGTAGTTCACAGTACACTTAGGTTGATTAGACGATTTATTAAATGTCAAATTTATCCCCTTGCTCTTATATGTGATCAATGATCAAATTGTAAACAATTATTCACGTGCTACATAATTAATAATGCCAATCTGCAAACAATTATTCACATGCTATATGATTAATAATTACACACAAAGTGGCGATCTCTCACCGACTAAAATTGAAGTAGTTCAAAGTACTGCATAGTTAGTTTCAAACACACAAAGTGGCGATCTCTCACCGACTAAAATTGAAGTAGTTCAAAGTACTGCATAGTTAGTTTCAAAATTTAATTATACTATTATTATTTAAATATAAATCTATTTATAATTGTTATCCTCTCACATGTAACATCATATACCAATATATATAAGCCAAGAAATTACAATAATTTCTATAGCACTCCTTCTACAGGCATGTGCATTTGTCATTAGATTAGATTAGATTATTTTAAAGTAATTAATTATATTATATATTTGATCTTTTTTTCAGATCAAGAAATTGCAATAATTTTTACAGTGCTTTTATCTCCTTCAACAAGTATGTGCATTTTTTATTTTCTTCTTATTAGAATAGATTAAATTGTTTAAAAATTATGAATTATAAATTTACAACAACTTTCACAGTACTTTCATCTATTGTCTTCTTATTGAATTAGATTAGATCATTTTAAAGTAATTAGTTATATTGTATGTTTGATTTCTTTTCAGATCACAAAGTTTAATTAGACTATTATTATTTAAATGGATACTGTTTGTATAAAAGTCAAAGAGAATCTCACATGTATCTTTGATCTCAATACTAATTATAATACTTATATATGAGTTTCGGTTAAAATAAATTTCATGTATGGGGTTAACTTATATGATCTTATTTTAATCGGATTAGATAATTTAACATTTGTTCTTTACACCCAAACTCTTCCACAAAACCAAGAGATTTTTAAAACTAATCTTGGGGGTTGCTTGCATTAAAAAATTATGTTAGAAGGCCCATACAGTCTGTTTTATAGTTTAAAATTATCAACATATTTCATAAAAAGAATAAATGATAATATTTTGTGAACATTTTATACTATAACTTAAGTGTTAAGTAAAATTAGGAATTATAGAAAGAATTTTCATGCAAAATTTTTAGTATTTTTGTATGCTTATGTGATTTCTTTCATCACATAAAATTATACTATAGCTACTATTAATCTTTAGTTTTTGTCTTTTTATTATTTTTAAGTCTATCAAATAATGTAGGCTGAGATCTCATATATATATTATCGTACTTCTTATTAAATATATACTATTTGTATAAAATTCAAAGAGAATCTCACACGTATATATCTTTGATCTCAATGCCAATTATAATACTTATATATGAGTTTTGGTTAAAATAAATTTTATGTATGGGGTTAACTTATTATTCTACTTTAATTGGATTAGATAATTTAACATTTGTTCTTTACACCCAAACTCTTTCACAAAACAAAAAAGGTTTTCAAAATTAATCTTGGGGGTTGCTTGCCTTAAAAAATTATGTTAGAGGGCCCATACAGGCTGTTTTATAGTTTAAAATTATCAACACATTTTGTCTCTTATGCATATCAATTATGAGTAATAATATAATTTATTTGATCCAAGTATATCATCTTATATTTCTGGACTCTCGTCTTGTATTTTGCTCTTTATCATGTACAAACCTAGCGATTCTTATTCAATTCCTTCTTCTTTTTTTCTTATTTTGTCTCTTGACATTGTCTTTTGTTCTTCATTATGTACAAACTCATTTCATGGATTAGAGTTATAGTTTTCGAGGGGGAGCAAAAGACAAATGGGTTGATTTTGGTGTTGGACTTTATTATTTGAAGAGATTAATTTTAAGAAATTCAACTCCAACATGATATCACAATTGATGTAGATGATAAAGACACTACTCTAGAATTGTCTAATAAAAAGAAAAATGTGGAGAAAGATTGATCTTGGCTCAATTAAAATATGAAATAAAAAGAATAAATGATAATATTTTTTGAACCTTTTATACTATAATAGCTTAACTTAATTTTTGAGTAAAATTAGGAATTTTTAGAAGTAATTTTCATGCAAAATTGTTAGTATTTTTGTATGTTTATGTGATTGCTTTCATCACATAAAATTATACTATATTTACCATTAATCTTTAGTTTTTGTCTTTTTATTATTTTAAGTCTATCAAATAATGTAGGCTGAGATCTCATATATATATCATGTTTATCGTACTTCTTTTTTATAATGTTTGCTTTTGAGATTGTTTATTATAAAACATGAGCTTATAATGTTGAAAAGTGCAGTGTAATTCTATTTTCAATGCAATAAGAAATGTTATTTTCTTATTGCTAGAACTATAGTTCATAATGATATTGTTATTCATCCTTGACTCCATATTATAGCTTGGGATTAGTAGAGTTTAGAATATGACATGTAGTATCAATTTAACTTATTTTCTTTTACTATGGATTAGTAGAGTTTAGAATATGACATGTAGTATCAATTTAACTTATTTTCTTTTACTATTCTGCTTGAAGATATTATTATGTCAACTGATATACATGTAGTATCAATTTAACTTATTTTCTTTTACTATTCTGCTTGAAGATATTATTATGTCAACTGATATCTTTTTCTGCGAAAATCAATTATGATATCCCAGTTAAGTATATTGATCCCAGTTTAGCACAAAAATCCATTACATCAATATTTTTTATAATGTTTAAATAAAAATTATAGCAAATCTAATAATTAAAATGAATCTGTCTTATTTATAGTAATAAAATTTAAAAATAAATTATTTTGATATTTAACCGCGTGCATTGCACGTGCATAAACACTAGTGTTACAAAATCAGACTGACAGATAGTTTGTGCAATCAGTAACCACCAATATTTCATCAGCCAAGGGGGGGGAAATCATTCAATATAGAAATATATATACCTTGAACATGGAGTTTGCGCATTGTTTCGAAGTAAAAGAAAAAAATCATAAACTTATAAACAATTGTTGTTATAAACTGAATTAAACTTATATTGTTATTAGTTAGAAAATAAAGATGTAATTGTGAAAAACTCTAATTTCCTGCAAATGATCATTTCTTATCGTTATTCCTTGTTAGCGCGTTTTTTATACCCTGCACTGGGGGTAAATTGAGACAAAAAGGTTGAGATTTCCAATATTACACATACTAATAATTTGAGAGAATTCATTGAAGACAAAGCATGTTTTAAGTGTTAAAAAAAGCATGTTTAAATGAGCTCAAAAGATTTGTTCCGAGCGACATTTACCCAGATATTAATATATATTCATAAACAACAATGACAAAAAACCTCACCTTTTGACTTGATTGATAGAAAATGATCTTATAACTAAATCAAGTACTGAAATGAACATTCTGCACGTCTTTAGTATATATCCTATTTCGTCAATTAGAATTTTTGAATTAATAGTCAGACAAAGATTGATAAAAGAAAGATGTTTTCTCAGATGACTCGACATATGTACATAATTGCCAAATTATTATTGATAATTTGATTAGATAAACTAATTGTGGCTGTGGAGTGTGTCATCAGTGTCATCAGTGCTGTTGGCTCCCCCATCATAGGCCCCATAGTCACTCTCTCAATCGAAGAAGCCAAATATTTGCTCAACACTGAAGCGAACGTGGCTAAACTCAGGGAGGCCTATGAGGAGCTCAGCCTGACAAAGGAGGAGGTTCTACAACAGATTGCAACCGACACATCGAAATCGGACGAGATCGTGCCCACCAAGAGGGTGAAGACGTGGAAGAGGGACGTAGAATCCAGAGAAGCTGATATATCAAGGATCCTCGAAGCCTACCGTAATAGGGCGACGTACTTCGGAGGTCGCTGCCCAAGGAACTGTTGGTCGAGTTACAGGATCAGCAAACGTGCGGCCAGGGCGGCCGAGGGAGCGAGGGAACTTGTAAGAAAGAAGGAAAATTTTCCTAAAGATCGCGTGACGGAGAAACGTGCTCCACGTATCCGAAGGGTGCCGACATTAACGTCTGATGCTACAGCGGATTCAACCGATAGGTACCTAAAGGTGGTGTTTGGTTACCTGCAGGACGAGGAAGTAGGAATGGTGGGGATATGGGGTATGGGGGGTGTGGGAAAGACCACCCTTCTCCAGAAAATCAACAATCATCCTGATGTCGCTTCCGCCGGATTCGATTATGTCATCTTGCTTGCTGTATCTCAGGTACTCGACCTTGACAGGCTTCAGAAGGAAACGGCTGAAAGACTTGGATTGCCTTTGGAGGAAGGTACATCAACCTTAGACTCTCGAATACGTCGATACTTGAGTAACAAAAGTTTCCTTCTACTATTGGATAACGTATGGGATCCTCTAGAGCTTGAAAGGCTTGGGATACCTCATCCCACGCATGGCAGCAGCAGCAGCGGCACTGTACCTAAACGTAAAGTTCTGTTTACGACTCGATCAGAGAATCTTAGTCCCGGATGCAGGAAGCTGATAAAAATTAAATGCTTGAAACAGGAAGAGGCTTGGAATTTATTTTTACACAACGTCGGTGAAGGCACAAGAACTGTTATCAACACAGACGAGAGGGTCTGCAGCCGTGCGGAGAAAGTTGCTGAGAAGTGCGGCGGTCTACCACTTGCAATTGTTCTCATCGCTCGGGCGATGTCTGCTAACAAGACCTGGCAAGAATGGGAGGTTGCTGTCAATTCTCTGGAAAGGATTGGGATTCAGGAGATGTGGAGCAAGGGAGAAGACCCTTTCCCTCTCTTGAAAGTCTCTTATGATCGCCTCCCCGACGACAATGTAAAAAACTGCTTCTTATCTTGTGCTTTATGGCAAGGAGATCGGGCTCTCTGGGATGAAGGGGAATTCGACCTCATCAATTTTTGGCTTAGCATGAATGTTATAGACGGTGATCTTACAGAAAGCGACCACAAGGGCTCAGAAAGCTACCTCAACGGCTATGCCAATCTCCAGAATCTCAAAAGAGCTTGCCTGTTGGAGGAAGTTCAGGGCTTTTCAGTGGGTTTGGTAAAAATGCACGATGTTATTCGCGGAATGGCTTTATGGATAATATCAGAGTGCAAGAAAGAATGGGTTATTATCGATCAAACTAAACGAAAGAACGAATCAGATGGAGACGGCGCAGGGTGGACCTCAAGGGATGATAAAATGATTCGGTTGATTCACGGACGACCCGGGACGCAACTGCCCCAGCATCCCGATTGCCCCACTTTGTCGGCCCTGATTCTTGGGGGGAACCATATTGATATGATCCCTGAGCGTTTCTTTCAAAACATGAACGCACTCACGTGCCTTGATATGTCATTTAACTACAACATCAGTGAAATTAATTCCTGCAGCTATCGGAAGGCTACAGCACTTAAGATACCTAGACTTAAGCTACACTGACATAAGTTCGCTGCCTGTGGAGTTGGGAGATCTGATCCAATTGAGGTGCTTGTTAGTGAATGTTTCATTTTCTCTGAGAAGCATCCCTCATGGATTGATACCGAGATTAGAAAAACTAGCGCAGCTGGAGCTATTTGGTAGCGCGTTTAACGCATGGGGTACTGAAGGTCAAGCAAGCATCGAAGAATTAGTGCTCTCCGGGATCACATCTCTATCTATCGATGTCAGAAGGCTCGACACACTGGAGCAACTCTCCAAAAATCGGCTGTTGTCCCTGTGGAGGGTCGTTATTACAGAATTGGAAGACGTGACATCCCTCCCACTGCGACGGCTGCTTCGAAACGGTAGATATAAGCTGCCATTCTGAAGAAGAATTCGACAGCTTGGAGCGATTTTATGTGGGTGGCAATCATGCATTGAAGAAGATCACGTTCTCTGGTGGATCACTGCTTCGGAACGCTCCTCATGCGACAGGCTGAAAAATGCTACATGGATTGCGCACCTCCCGTACCTTGAATCATTAGGAATTTGGGAATGCGATGGTATGGAGCATGTGATTGCCGATGAAGAAGACGATGACGTTGCAACAAAGAGGGGTGATATTGAGTTAGAAATAACGCTGAAATTCTCTAAACTCGAAGAAATGGTTCTTGTACGGCTGAAAAATGCTACATGGATCACTGCTGTCGGTATTGTCGAGTGTCCGAAGTTTGATGCGTCACAAAAGGCTGAGCTGATGTCGGTTTGATGCGTCACAAAAGGCAATTGCTTTGGCCTGTGAATGTGGGGGCACAAGCACGTGAACAGTGAACAGTGAACGTGACCACTGAACAGCAAAACACAGTTTGAGTTTAGTGCTGAGGGGGGGTTATTCGTTGGTGTAATTTTAGGGGTAATGGGATAATTTTTGGAACAACATTGTTTGGTGTTATTCATTGGGGTAATTGGGTATGGATTCAATTGTATGGTGTTATTGGTTGGGACAATGGAACAAGGATAATACATTTTTATGTTATTGGTTTTTTGGAACACTAGTGAGACAATTACACCACTTGGGATAAAATTACCACACTCATATACAAAAAATTTGTCTCAATAGTAAAAATTTACCCCATCCTTCATATTGGAACAATGTTGTTCCACTTTGAAGGCAATTGGGATAATTTTAAAATATTTTTGTATTACTTAACTAATACATGTAATTATATTATAAATATATGACATGATATATAAAATATAACATAAATTAATATTTTAATAACATAATTTAATAACATATATTAATAATATTATATAATAATAATTATAGTATAATGTTATTTATTATAATATTATATAATATTGTAATAACATATATTAATAATATTATATAATAACATATACTAATATTTTAATAACATATATAATATTTTAATAATATATATTAATAATATTATGTAATATATTATTATATAATATTATTATATAATGTAGCATACTAATATAATGTTAATTAGTAATTATTGTATAACATATAATATTTTTGTATAAATAAAATAATGTATTATATTAAATATTATATTATTAAAATATTATATTAAATATATTGATATTATGTAATATTAATTATTGTATATAGTATAGCATGCTAATATAATATTAATATAATATAATAATTAATAATAGTAATTTGTAAGTATAGTACAATATATTATATTTTAATTTAAAGTAAAATAATATTTATATTATAATAATATACTAAATAATATACTAAATCAATTGGATAAGTTAATTTAGAATTAATTAATAGATAAAATTATATTTTAATAAGGTGCCACATCATCAATTATCCCACATGAATTGTCAAATCAAAGGCTCAAATTATCCCATTATCCCATTTTACCCCACTCAAAATATCCCAAAGGGGGAAAATTGTTCCATTGGAACATTTTTCCCACTTAGCCCCAATTTGTCCCAACCAATAACCCCCCTGAGTACAACGGACAATTCATGGGCCTGGAATTTTTCGCAGCGGACAAATCACCGGCCTGGAATTTTTCGGTTTCTGTTTAGGGGGTGTTTGTTTCAAATCATAAAATTTTAGGATATGGATTTCACCATGGGATTTGAAATCCATAGGTAATTTGTTATGGGTTGGGATTCCTAAAACTTTGTTTGTTTCAACAATATTTTGGGAGTTGGAATACTATAATTTGTAATGTTTTTGTTTGTTTCAAACTTTTTGGAATTTGAAATCCTTAATTTGTCTAACACTTTTGAAATCCACCCCACATCCCACCCAAAAAAGAGGATTTCACAAATCCTTAAATATAATACTTTTTTATTATTTGGGGATTTAATATTCTAAAATTTGGTTTGAAACAAACAAGTTTTATGGAATTCTAAAACCCAAAAAAACCCACTTTTTGATCCTAGAATTTGAAATCCCACCCAAATGCCAAATTTTTTTTGAAACAAACACCCCCTTACTATAAATAGGAACGTGTCTAGGGTTTTTTCTGGTTGCGTGCAAGGGAAAAGAAAAAACGCAGAGGGGAAAAGTCGGCTGAGAAAAGTCGGCTAAGAGAACAGAGGCGCAATCGGCTAGGACGTGCAGAGGGGAAACTGCAGACTCTTTTCGGCTGTGCAAGGGTTTTGTGGATCCCTTTTGAGAGAGAAATCGTGAGGGATTTGAGAAATTGTTTGAGGGTTTTATTTGTGGGATTTTGTGTGATTGTAAACCGTGACGTCCCAGGGTTCACACAAGACTGCAGTCCAAGGTAAAACCCGGATTGTCAAACCAGCCAAGCACCAACCACCATGCTATGACATGTTTCATCATCACAGTCACTATCTCTCTAGTGAAATCAACAAATAGGTGAAGGTACATACAGACAAATAATAGAAGTAGAACAAAATCAGATATACACAGACGAAAAATCAATAAAAATCAATAATGAGCCCAACTGAAATAGAATAGAAATATCTCTGAATCTGAACTAGATCTCAAATACAATGAGTTAAATAAAATCTCACTATGGCTCTCAGCCTCTACAAAATAAAATACCAGTCTAGAGTCTGAAAATAACAACTAAATGTGGAGTTCTGCAATAACTATAAATAAAATATCTAAATGGAGTCTATGAAGAAATCCCATCAACCTGCGACTCTCTGTGCATCGGACTCGCTGCCTGAAAGGGGGGAAAAAACAACGAGCGTCAAAGCGCTAGCGAGATCATCTCCACCTCTCCCCAGGGAAAGGGGTAGGAGTATAAGAAAATAGAGTCAGTACATATAAGTATAAAATCATTCATATAACTCTAACTGGAGATTTGCACTTAGGAATCCACAATACGAGAGTTAGTATGTCGAGCGAAATAATCCAAACAAGGAAACCCTCATGTATATACCATGTTTCAAATTGTGACTCCCTAAATACAAATTCCTAACTCTATGAATGAAAAACAACAGTCAAAAGAAACATACTCCAACCCTCAAATATACAGAATAAATATCTCATCTCGAACTACCCTCGAGTAGTCGGTTCTAAAATAAGAGGATCCCATCCAATTTTAAAAAATAACTATAGGACATATCGTATATGTAGGCTGTCTAAAATTTACAACAGATAGTGAATTCTCATTAAAGTATTGGAGATGTGAATTACAATCAGACGATTTCCATATCAACAATTCGATGACGAAAAGAGTTACGATTCGACAACTTTCATATTACAAGGAGCTAAGACGAAGAATACAAGATGACAATCTTCGCAAACGCTCAAATCAGAAGAGACTACAAGTTGACAGCTTCTTCGAATATCGTGTGAGATGAAACACAATTTTATCATGGCATTTCAGCCTGAACGCAAGTCCTTATTCTGCGTTACACGTCCAAAACACAGAATCAGCTATCAAGAACGCCCATGATGGCGTTTGACCTGTTTAAACGTGTTGAACGGTTCTGAAACCGTTTCCCCACGATTTGAGGGATTTTAGCCCCACTTCGGAGCAGATTAAGGGGACAGTTACACCCCTTAATCTCTCTATAAATACAACAAACTCAACCGAGTTCGAGAGGGACATAGGGGAGATCTGTTTGGTTGGTTCAGATTCAGAAAATCTCTGTTAGAGAGAGATCAGTTCTAATTCTTGAGAGGCGATAATCTTTGAGCCTGATATTTGGCTTGGTAACCGATTATTCGGTTTAAACTAACTCTTTTACAGAGTTATAACTCATTTAGAGTTTCTTAACTCGTTAAGAGTTTAAAAATACTCATCACTGAGTTCTCCTCTACGTTAATCAAGAGGAAGATATTGTGTTCTAGCAAGGTGAAGTGTTCGAATCGTCAACGGGATACAAGATTCAAGCTCCCATCGCTACTGTGAAGAACTCAGTCTTAAACAAAGGAGAGAATTCACATAAATTCTCTTCTCTTTTGTAATCAAGAAATTTAAGTTGTATTCGAGATTAAGAGAGTTGTAAACATTCTTTTTCTAAGCAAGTTAGAGAGAATAAAATCAAATTTAATTCTTTCATTTTCGTCTTTACAATTTTCCTACCAACAGTATATACCACAATCTCAAAGAATGTACCCTGCTCACGGGTAATCTAACATGGAAGCAATGATACGAGTCGTCGTGCGAGCACCTTTGATCGCGGAATTATCAAAGGTGGGTTGAGAAGAGGATGACAGAAACACAAGCACAATTCAGTATATGGCAAAGGAAAATACATTCTTTAGATTATGAGTATGAAAAGATTACAATCCCTCTCTCACAATCTCACTAGAATCGAGAACAAACTCACAATTCTCTCTAAACCCTAATCCCTCTCTTTAAGATCTGATTAGAAAATAATCTCTAATTACCATCTGAGTAATAAACCCTAGAAAAGTCGTGTTTCTATTTATATCAAATAGAAATCCTAAACAGTCTAGGAAAACAAGCCCAGGCCCAAAAACCGCATCGCGGTCGACCGCAGAGACCATCGCTGTCGACCGGACAGGAGACCCGAGGCTGAATATGCACTACATGGTTTTGGCGGTCGACCGCAGAACCCATCGCTGTCGACCGCAAAAAGTCCAAAGACAAATCTTGACCCTGTGCACGTTCGCGGTCGACCGTAGAGCTATGCGCGATCGACCGGACAGCAATAAAATCCATTTTCCTGTCTTTTTCTGAACTCTTCGACTTCGCCGCCTCCAACGACTTTGTCCACGACTCCTCTACACTATTCTCAAGATACCATGAGAATCATCTATCCTCAAGCTCCCATGAGGATCGCTAAGCTCCCGAAGAGAAGATACACCCGTATCATGAGTCTCCCCTTTAGGAACTTGAAGTCCCGTTCAAGTTAGAACTGGAGCTTATGGAACTCGCGAGCCCC